AGCAGCAAAAAATATTGTTTTCTAAACTTTCGGTATTTTTTTACTTTATATCGCAAAAAAATAAAAAACTCAGCTGTGATCAAATATCACCAAAAGAAAGCTCTATTTATGTGTAAAAAATGATATACATTTTGTTTTGGTACAGCATTGCATGACTGCGCAACTACCAGTTAAAAGTAGCGCAGTGCGGTACAGCAAAAAATTGCCTAGTCATTAAGGGGGTAAAACCTTCCGAAGCTTGAATCAGTTAATTCTCTTCCCTTTTCTCTCCATGGGTCTTAATCTCAATATCTTTTTTTTGTATTTTATACATGCAAGCACATAACCACAGAGCTCTGGCTCCTTTTTATAATAGGGAGGACTAACAACAGAGATGTCACCAGTGTTCACTGCTCTATACGTTGTTGAATAGGAGAGTCTCCACCCACCACAGCTGCACTAGAGAGGAAAATAACCCAGAGCTTTTTAGCATGTGACTTGCATGCATAAAACAGTGAAAAAAAGGTATTTACACAGTGATCTGCGATAAAGGGTATGTAGTGCCATGGAGTGAAATGGGGCAATAATATGTACAGTGCCATTCATAAAGTATTCAGACCCCCTTCACTATTTTTTCAATTTTTTTCATGTTGCAGCCTGATTGTTTAAATTCCTTTTTTTCTCATTAATCGACACTCAGTACCCCCATAATGAAAAACGCAAAAAATAATTTTAGAAATGTATGCAAATGAAAGAAAAAGGAAAAACCAAAATACAGTGGGTATAGAAAACAATCATCTCTCTCTAAGCTGACAATGTATACTGTATCAGAGCAAAAGCCACGAGGTCAAAGGAACTGCCTGCAGAGCTCAGAGACAGGATAATTGTAAGGCACTGATCTGGGGAAGATCTGACCTCTGTGACCAAGCCCCGATGGGTGGGGCAAAACGTGTCAGCGGTCGTGGACAGAATGGCAGCTGAGGCCATTCCTCAACATTGGACTCCTGGGGTGGGTTGAGCAGCGTCCATCCCCTCACAGACCTGGAGAAGGCTACAAAAAAAACCCCTGCATGTTCCCAAGCGCACAGTGGCTTCCATAATTCTCAAATGGAATAAGATTGGCACAACCAGGACTCTTCCAAGAGCTAATCGTAAGAGAGGTGACCAAGCACCCGATGGTCACTCTGAATGAGTTCTAGAGATCTTGTGCGGATATGGGACAAAGTTCCAGAATGACAACCATGACTGCAGCCCTCCACCGATAAGGGCTTTATAGGAGAGTGGCTAGACTAAGCTCCCCTCAGTACAAGCGTGCTTGGAGTTTGCAAAAAAGCACCTGAAAAACTCAGACTGAGGAAAAATATTCTCTGATCTGATGAAAGATTGAACCGTTTAGCTTCAATTCTAAATGTTATGTCTGGAGGAAACCAGGCACCGCTCATCACCTGCCCAATACCATCCCAACAGTGAAGCATGGTGGTGGCAACATTATGCTGTGGGAATATTTTTCAGCAGCAGGGACTGTGAGAAGGTTCAGTGTTGAGGGAATACTGAATGGAGCAAACTACAGTTATCCTCAATGAAAACCTGTTCCACAACGCTCAGGACCTCAGACTGGGCCGAAGGTTCACCTTCCAATGATGCTGAGCACACAGCCAAGGCAACACAGGATTGTCTTAGGGACAACTCTATGAATGTCCAAGAGTGGCCCAGCCAGAGCCCTGACTGAACATGTCTGGAGAGACCCGAAAATGGCTGTCCACTGACGGGTCTTCATCTTCATCCAACCTGACTGAGCTTGAGAGGATTTGCAAAGAAGGCAAAAAATCCCTCAATCCTGATGAGCAAAGCTTGTCGCATCAGAGACTCGAGGTTGTGATTGCTGCCAAAAGGTGCTTCAACAAGGTAGAAAGAGTAAAGGGTCTGAATACTTAAGAACATGTGATAAATCATTTTTTTCTTCTTTTTAAATACATTCGCAGACATTTCTGAAATTCTGTTTTCACTATGTCATTAGGGGGTATGAAGTGTAGATTAAATGTGAAAAAGAACGTATTTAAACAACTGTAGTATCAGGCTGCAGCATAACAAAACTGAAAAACGAGAAGGTGAACACTTTATGAAAGTTCTGTAAATGTCAGACAGATAGCCTTTCCTTCTGCTTTAATGTGCCCCCAAAACATTTGTAAATATCCTTACTGGTGTTTTTTTAAGTACACTTAAGCTAGTAGTTATTTTAACCACTTGCCTATCGGGCACTTATACCTCCTTCCTGCCCAGGCCAATTTTCAGATTTCAGTGCTGTCGCACGTTGAATGACAATTGCGCAGTCATGCAACATTGCACTCATATGACATTTTTATAATTTTTTTTGAGACAGATAGAGCTTTCTTTTGGAGGTATTTAATCACCTCTGGGTTTTTTAGATTTTTTGCTAAACAAACCAAAAACAACTGAAAATTTTGGAAAAAAAGTTGTTCTTAGTTTCTGTTATAAAATTTTGTAAATAGGTGATATTTCTCCTTCACTGATGTGCGCTAATGAGGCTGCAGTGATGGGCACTGGTAGGCTGCACTGATAGGCTTCACTGACGGGCACTGAAAGGCAGCACTCATATATGGCACTGATAGGCAGCACTCACTGGCACTGTTAGGTGGCACTGAAAGGCAGCTCAGATGGGCACTGATATGTGGCATTGAAGTGCACTGGTAGGCACTGATATGTGGCACTGATTGGGCATTGGCAGGTGGCATTGATGGGGGCTACACTGATCATCAGGGCACACTGATCATCAATGCCCTGATGATCAGTGTACATGTCCCCTCTAAGTAATGCCGATTACCGGCTCTCCTCTCCTCACGAGCTGTCAGCGTGACAGCTCGTGAGGAGAGGAATGCCGATAACTGGCATTTTCTTATTTACATGTGACCAGCTGTGATTGGACACAGCTGATAACATGGCAGAGCCATGGGTAAATTCTGATCAATAATGCATACAGAGGTGTTAAGCCGTACAAATACATATATAATTGAAACTGCTACATTTTATGCATGCCCACATATATGCTTACAGTCGACATGGTCTACACACCCGTTAAAATGTCAGGTTTCTGTGATGTAAAAAAATGAGAAAAAGATAGATAATTTTAGAACTTTTTCCACCTTTACTGTAACCTATAAACTGTACAACTCAGTTGAACAACAAACTGAAATCTTTTAGGTGAAGGGAAATAAAAATAAATAACTAAAATAATATGGTTGAATAATACTTTCAGAACTCAGTCTTTTTTGGGTATGAGTCTATCAGCATGGCACATCTCGACTTGGCAATATTTGCCCACTCTTCCTTGCAAAAACGCTCCAAACCTGTCAGATTGCGAGGGCATCTCCTGTGCACAGCCCTCCCTCTCAGATCACCCCAAAGATTTTTGATCGGATTCAGGTCTCGGTTCTGGCTGGACCATTCCATAACTTTAATATTCTTCTGGTGAAGCCATTCCTTTGTTGATTTGGATGTATGCTTTGAGTCGTTATCATGCTGAAAGATGAAGTTCCTCTTCATGTTCAGCTTTCTACCAGAAGCTTGAAGGATTCTGTGCCAATATTGACTGGTATTTGGAACTGTTCATAATCCCCTCTACCTTGACTAAGGCCCCATTTCCAGCTGAAGAAAATCTGCCCCAAAGCATGATGCTGCCACCACCAAGCTTTACTATGGGTTTGGTGATGTGCAGTGTTAAACATATCTTTTGGAATTATGGCCAAAAAGTTCAACCTTGGTTTCATCAGACTATAATACATTTTCCCCACATGCTTTTGGGAGACTTCAGATGTGTTTTTGCTAAATTTAGCCAGGCTTGGATGTTTTTCTTTCGTAAGAAAAGGCTTCAGTCTTGCCAATCTACCCCATAAGCCCAGACACATGAAGAATGCTGTAGGATGCGACAAAAAAAAAATGTCAGGAAAGACCTACTAGAACAGCTGAACTTTATTTGGGGTTAATCAGCGGCACTTTAAATGATGGCAGGTGTGTACTGGCTCCTATTTAACATGATTTTGAACGAGATAGCTTAATTCTGAACACAGCTACATCCCCAGCTATAAGATGGTGTGCACACTTAAGCAACCACATTATTTTAGTTTTATATGTTTACTTCCCCCCCCAAAAGATCTGTTTGTTTTCAATTGAGTTGTACAGTTTATAGGTCACATTAAAGGTGGAGAAAGTTGTGAAATTATTTATCTTTGTCTAATTTTTTTTACATCACAGAAACCTGACATTTTAACGGGTGTGTAGACGTTTTATATCCACTGTATATTGTTTATGATTTACCTAAATACACAAACCATTACCTACATCTGCTTCAAACTATCTTGCATTTGCAGTATCGTCTAATAACACCAAGTAATGCATGCTCTACATTTTACAACCTATACAGAAGATGTTTAAAGTAGAAGTCCATTCAAAGCCTCTCTAAACTTGAACCTGCTCCCAACCTCATTCAAAGCCCTTTCCTAACTAGCCTGTAGTGCAAAGATGTTTATACCTACCTATTCCCTGGGAGATCCAGCCTTGTCACAGGTCACAGGTCCCAGTGCCGGCTTCTGGGTAGAGGAAGCACAACTGACCACGGATGCTCCATACTAAGCCTACGGGTGATGTCAACGCATAGGCACTGCAGCTGTTGTCAGCAATCTCTCCTCTTCGTTGAAGCCGGCCATTGAGATCATGTGACTGGATCAGGGCAAACCATTATTAGGTGAGTATACACATCTTTCAACTACATGTTCGTTAATATGGGGAGTAGAATGGGGGGTGGGAGCAGGTTCAGGATTAGAATAGACTTTCACTTTAATATAACATTCAGAGAATTCCAAGTGAAGGAACTTGAAATAGTATACTGAGGTAATTGTGACTGTTTAAAGTATTAATAAACTATGGTGTTATACCCTGTACCTAAAGTATCAGCATGTAGGAACATCAAATTGTAGTCAATAGTTTAGTAGAAATTAGATAATTACCATTTATTCGGCTTGGCAATCAATAAGGAGTTCACAAACATTTTACATAAAACGGATGGAGGTGGAAGTACATGAGCTGGAGTATTAAGAAGAAGCTAGAAACAAAAAATAGAAATGAACAAATAAGTCAAATAAAATTTGCACAATTATAGCACTGACGTAGACATTGCTACCATCAGAATCAGACCACCACAAAGAAAATTGGAGCCTTTTTGAAACAAAATATATATGTCTCACTTTCATTGCAAATCCCAAAAATAAGATTAGTTCTCATTTTAGGACAGAGGGTGAAGACATGCAGAACATTCCTTTATGCCCCTAGCGTCAATGACCCAGAGCCACTGGTTTTTAGCACAAACCAAGTAGGAGCTACTTCAGGCTTATTGGCCTTCAACAATGCAGTGCTTGAAATTAATGGCTTCTACGGGGTAAGGCTTGGGGAGCACTGGCAAAGTATGGACAGACAAGTTATGAAGTGGGTTAAAAGGAAACAAATACCCCTTAATGAACCAGTATGAAGCATAGTGAGATATGCAAATAGGGAGCTTTCTGGTTCCTTTTAGTCCACCTCATCATAACCTGCTTGATCATATGTCCTCAGATTTGGAACAAGATATACACTATATTGCCAAAAGTATTGGGACACCTGCCTTTACACGCACATGAGCTTGAATGGCATTCCAGTCTTAATCCGTAGGATTCAATATTGAGTTGGCCCACCCTTTGCAGCTATAACAGTTTCAACTCTTCTGTGAAGGCTGTCCCCAAGGCTTAGGAGTGTGTCTATGGAATGTTTGACCATTCTTCCAGAAGCGCATTTGTGAGGTCAAGCACTGATGTCCAATGAGAAGGCCTGGCTCACAGTCTCTACTCTAATTCATCCCAAAGGTGTTCTATCCGGCTGAGGTCAGGAACCTGTGCAGGCCAGTCAAGTTCCTCCACCCCAAACTTGCTCATCCATGTCTGTATGGACTTTGCTTTGTACACTGTTCCTACAAAGTAGGGACCATGAATTTCTCTAAAATGTCTTGGTATGCTGACCCTTCAGTGTTCCCTTCACTGGACCTAAGGGGCCATGCCCAACCCCTGAAAAACAACCCCACACCATAATCCCCCCCCCTCCACCAAGCTTTAAACTTGGGACAATACAGTCAAGCAAGTACCATTCTCTTGGAAAACACCAAACCCAGACATCGGATTGCCAGACAGAGAAGTGTGGTCTGTCACTCTAGAGAACACATCTCCTCTGCTCTAGAGTCCAGTGGCAGCGTGCGTTACACCACTGAATCCAACGCTTTGCATTGCACTTGGTGATGAAAAACTTGGATGCAGCTGCTCGGCCATGGAAGCCCATTCCACAAAGTTCTCTAAGCACTGTTGTTGGGCTAACCTGAAGGCCACACAAAGTTTGGAGGTCTTTAGCTATTGACTCTGCAGATATTTGTTGACTTCTGCGCACTTCAGCATGCGCTGACTTCTGCGCACTGTGCACTTCAGCATGCGCTGACCCCACTCTGTCATTTTACGTGGCCTACCACTTCGTGGCTGAATTGCTCCTGCTCCCAGTTGCTTCCACTTTGTTAAAATACCACTAACAGTTGACCGTGGAATATTTAGTAGCAAAGAAATTTCAATCCAATGATTTGGAGAGGTGGCCCAATACGTTTAGCAATATAGTGTGTGTGTGCGCGCATATATATACAGTGGGGCAAAAGTATTTAGTCAGCCACCAATTGTGCAAGTTCTCCCACTTAAAATGATGAGAGAGGTCTGTAATTGGCATCATAGGTAGACCTCAACTATGAGAGAAAAAAATGAGAAAAAAAATCCAGACAATCACATTGGCTGATTTGGAAAGAATTTATTTGCAAATTATGGAGAAAAATAAGTATTTGGTCAATATGAAAAGTTCATCTCAATACTTTGTTTTATATCCTTTGTTGGCAATGACAGAGGTCAAACGTTTCCTGTAAGTCTTCACAAGGTTGGCATACACTGTTGCTGGTATGTTGGCCCATTCCTCCATGCAGATCTCCTCTAGAGCAGTGATGTTTTGGGGCTGTCGCTGGGCAACACCGACTTTCAACTCCCTCCAAAGGTTTTCTATGGGGTTGAGATCTGGAGACTGGCTAGGCCACTCCAGGACCTTGAAATGCTTCTTACGAAGCCACTCCTTCGTTGCCCGGGCGGTATGTTTGGGATCATTGTCATGTTGGAAAACCCAGCCACGTTTCATCTGCAATGCCCTTGCTGATGGAAGGAGGTTTGCACTCAAAATCTCACGATACATGGCCCCATTCATTCTGTCCTGTACATGGATCAGTCGTCCTGGCCCCTTTGCGGAGAAACAGCCCCAAAGCATGATGTTGCCACCCCCATGCTTCACAGTAGGTATGGTGTTTCTTTGGATGCAAGTCAGCATTCTCTCTCCTCCAAACACGAGTTGTGTTTCTACCAAACAGTTCTATTTTGGTTTCATCTGACCATATGACATTCTCCCAATCCTCTTCTGGATCATCCAAATGCTCTCTAGCAAACTTCAGACGGGCCCGGACATGTACTGGCTTAAGCAGGGGGACACGTCTGGCACTGCAGGATCTGAGTCCCTGGCGGTGTAAGGTGTTACTGATGGTAGCCTTTGTTACGTTGGTCTCAGCTCTCTGCAGGTCATTCAATAGGTCCCACCGTGTGGTCCTGGGATTTTTGCTTACCGTTCTTGTGATCATTTTGACCCCACGGGGTGAGATCTTGCGTGGAGCCCCAGATCGAGGGAGATTATCAGTGGTCTTGTATGTCTTCCATTTTCTAATTATTGCTCCCACAGTTGATTTGTTCACACCAAGCTGCTTGCCTATTGCAGATTCAGTCTTCCCAGCCTGGTGCAGGTCTACAATTTTTGTTTCTGGTGTCCTTTGACAGCTCTTTGGTCTTCACCATAGTGGAGTTTGGAGTGTGACTGTTTGAGGTTGTGGACAGGTGTAATTTATACTGATAACAAGTTCAAACAGGTGCCATTGATACAGGTAATGAGTGCAGGCCAGAGGAGCCTCTTAAAGAAGAAGGTACAGGTCTGTGAGAGCCATAAATCTTGCTTGTTTGTAGGTGACCAAATACTTATTTTCCACCAAAAATTGCAAATACATTATTTCCAAATCAGCCAATGTGATTGTCTGGATTTTTTTTCTCATTTTGTCTCTCATAGTTGAGGTCTACCTATGATGTCAATTACAGGCCTCTCTCATCTTTTTAAGTGGGAGAACTTGCACAATTGGTGGCTGACTAAATACTTTTTTGCCCCACTGTGTGTGTATATATATATATATATATACACACACACATACATACATATACACACACACACACACACACATACATATACACACACACACACACACACACATACATATACACACACACACACACACACACAGTATCTCACATTTTTGTAAATATTTTCTTATATTTTTTCATGTGACAACACTGAAGAAATAACACTTTGCTACAATGTAAAGTAGTGAGTGTACAGCTTGTATAACAGTGTAAATTTGCTGTCCCCTCAAAATAACTCAACACCCAGCCATTAATGTCTAAACCGCTGGCAACAAAAGTGAGTACAACCCTAAGTGAAAATGTCCAGCTCAGTTTCAGGGTCTTGGCAATCTTCTTATAGCCTCGGCCATCTTTATGTAGAGCAACAATTCTTTTTTTCAGAGCCTCCGAAAGTTCTTTGGTATGAGGTGCCATGTTGAACTTCCAGTGACCAGTATGGGAGAGTGAGAGCCATAACACCAAATTTAACACACCTGCGACCTTGTGACACTAACAAGTCACATGACACCGGGAAGGGAAAATGGCTAATTGGGCCCAATTTGGACATTTTCACTTAGGGGTGTACTCACTTTTGTTGCCAGCGGTTTAGACATTAATGGCTGTGTTGAGTTATTTTGAGGGGACAGCAAATTTACACTGTTATACAAGGTGTACACTCACTACTTTACATTGTAGCAAAGTGTCATTTCTTCAGTGTTGTCACATAAAAATATATAATAAAATATTTACAAAAAAGTGAGGGGTGTGTGTATATATATATATATATATCACTTGCCCATTCCACCTCCCGCCACAGGCCCCTGAACTTTTAGTCAGGGACCAACCTTCACCCATCACGGTGGGCCTTGTCCTAAAAACTTTCAGGGACTCGGCCCCCCTTTTTAATCTGGTAATATGCAGCTCGCCTTTTTTTTTTCTTTTAAGATTCTTTTCACTTTAATGCAGGAAAAGCTGGACATGCACTTTTTTCGTTTATGCAACACACTCCATGTGCACGATGGTGTGTTTATCCACTGGCCACTATTGTGCAGCGATCGGGGTGCCATTTAAAGTGAATGTTACTCCAGTGCATGTGTTACCACACGCTGAGGTAACATGCAGTAAAACATGCATTTTACTGCATGCTAGTATCTGAAATGGCCTTTAGGCTGAATACAAACTATGTGCGGTGACCGGTGACTTACTGCATTGTAAAACACTGATCACCACAAGGACACACAGAAAACAATTGTTTTCTGTGTGCAGAAAACAATTGTTTTCTGTGTGTGCCATTCACACTTCAACATAGCCCAGAGCTGTGATAAACTGCAGATATGCTGCATTTTATCGCAGCACACTGTACAGGATCACATATCACTATACAGCAGCACAGCAAGCTTCTCTACAGTGGCATGAATGAAATTACTTTTGTACACTTCAAATAAAGTTGAATGAGGAGAAAAAAGGGAACCATGTGATGTGCTGAAATGAGCACTACACTGCCCTCTACCGCAGCCAGAACGGACAGCTGCCAGAGAGGAAACCACTGTGGTTTACCTCTCTGGCAGCTGTCTTGTTTGTGAATTAAGCCTTAAGTTTTGGATGCAGTGGAGGAAGGGGCAGAACCACTGCCAGATAAAAAAAAAAAAGATATTCATTTGGGCTTCAATGGCCCATAATAAATAAGGCTAGACAGTTTCTATATGGCGATTCTATGGGTTCTCTCTGGGTGATCCATTTTTCCCACAATCTCAGAATGAAGATCGTTTTGAACAATGTAAAATGTTTCAAAGTATGTCCTGCAATATATATATTTAAAAGACAGACAAGGCTTCAAAATCATGTGCCTAGAAGAAAAAAAACAAACAAACAAAAAAAAACAAAACACCTCTTTAACGGCAGCTGTCTGAGTTGTATGTCCAGCAGGGTGAGTTTTCTCTGAGTCCCAGGTTGGATTATCTTGAGTCTGTTGCTGCTTCTTCCGAAGCAAAGTGTAGAAAGGTGTGTAAGGTAAACTTTCTTCTGAAGCCATCTTAAAAAAAAAAAAAAAAAAAAAAAGAAAAAAAAAAAGATATATATATATAACTGCAAAGGTTTATACTCCATACTGGAAGCTAACACCTGTACAGAATTACAACACTGAACTCCAATCAGGAAATAAGATTCACATTATACAGCCTACATGTTTCTAGTGCTGAAAATCAAAACCAAAAAAATATAAATCATACATACCTGCTAAGGTGTGTATGGATGTAGCTGCGACAATTGCTTTTTATTTAACCCCTAACCTCCAAGTGTACACATATATTCGGTCTCATGGAAGTGGGTCTTCTTCTGTGGGGCCACATACAGTGAGGAACAGAAGTATTTGAACACCCTGCAATTTTGCAAGTTCTCCCACTTCGAAATCATGGAGGAGGTCTGAAAATCACATTGTAGGTGCATTCCCACTCTGAGAGGGAGAATTTAAAAAAAAAATTCAGGAAATCACATTGTATGATTTTTAAAGAATTTATTTGTCTTGCACTGCTGAACATAAGTATTTGAACACCTGAGAAAATCAGTGTTAATATTTGGTACAGAAGCCTTTGTTTGCAATTACAGAGGTCAAACGTTTCCTGTAGTTCTTGACCAGGTTTGCACACACTGCAACAGGGATTTTGGCCCACTCCTCCACACAGATCTCCTCTAGATCTGTCAGGTTTCGGGGCTGTCACTGAGCAACACGGAGGTTCAGCTCCCTCCAAAGATGTTCTATTGGATTTAGGTCTGGAGACTGGCTAGGCCATTCCAGAACCTTGATATACTTCTTACGGAGCCACTCCTTGGTTATCCTGGCTGTGTGCTTCGGGTCATTGTCATGTTGGAAGACCCAGCCATGACCCATCTTCAATGCTCTGACTGAGGGAAGGAAGTTGTTGCTCAAAATCTCACAATAAATGGCCCCATTCATCCTCTCCTTAATACAGTGCAGTCGTCCTGTCCCCTTTGTGATTTCCTGAATTTCTTTTTTTTTTTTTAATTCTCTCTCTCAGAGTGGGAATGCACCTACAATGTGAATTTCAGACCCCTCCATGATTTCTAAGTGGGAGAACTTGCCAAATTGCAGGGTGTTCAAATACTTCTGTTCCTCACTGTATATGCATACATGTGTTTGTGACGAGGGCGTGATCCCAGCACAGAGACTGACAGCTACTGACAGCTCCGGGTCTAGTACTAACAATAAGGAGCCAGAAGGACCGCCTCTCGATCGCATGATTATTGTGATAAGATGTAATTGGCTATCACAGTGATCAGTCTCACCCAAGTGTTTCTTTGTTCTAGTACAGGTACAAACAACACACACATATGTGGTTCAATCATCGCTACAATTATTATGAGCCCGATCTCGATCCAGTGATGTGCATGAGAGTAGCAGCTCTCTCAAGTCTTTCTCTCCTCATTGGTCCAGACACAGCAGCAACCTCCCGAAGAGAGGCTCAAGTAGGAAAGGACTTGAAGGTTAAAAAGTGTTGAATGTGGGAGAGTCCACTGGCCACCCACCAAGAAAAGCCTGTAGCTGGTCAAGGCCCCATTGGAAAAAAAAAAAAAAAAAAAAAAAAAAAGGAGGATAGTTGGTGATAGGAAGCCAGGGCAGAAAGGGTGACATAAGGCAGCCTGAGAACCATACGGTGTCCCATGCTTGTAGGCTATGATGCATTAGCAGACTGAGTCTCCGGGTGAAGGTCAGAAGGGAGTCAAAGAAGGGTTGGCATGGTGATGGTGGCACAATTGGGAAGCTCCAGAATAACCCATAAGGGAAGTGTCAACAGAAGAATGGATAATTGAGAAATCTGAGCAGCCTGGTAGTATTTAGCTATATTAAGGCCCCCCTGAAGTCTATGCACAAAAAGGGTTGCTCTGGAGATCCTAAGGCGTTTATTGGCCGAAATAAAGTGCATGATCCTATTCTGGAGTAAGCAGAGAAAATGTGATGGGACCCGCACTAGTAAGGTGCGAAAGTAATATAATAGTTTGGGCAGAATAGTCATTTTCACAAATTTTATCCGACCTATACAGGACAAGTGTGGGAACTGCCAGGACTGCATAAAGGTGGATAAGGAGCGAAGTGGATAATTGGCTGCAAATAAAGAAGAATAAGAGGAAGTCAGGTGAATACCTAAGTAATCAAGAGAGGACGACATCCACTTGTAAGGAAAGTGAGAGGTGGGTGACCAGGTCAGGTGCCAAGGTGACATTAAGGGCAATAGTTTTGTCTAAATTAATCCAGAGGCCCAATATCAGTGAGAAATGAGGGAGGACTCGCTGTAAATTAGGAAGAGTAATAAGAGGGTTGGTTAGAGTCAGTAAGATGTCGTCCGCAAAAAGGTTGAGTTTTTGCTCGTGGCCCGCATAAGGAATGCCTATCACATTGTGGTCTACCTGTAGGGCCACTGCCAGTGGTTCAAGCGCTAGAACAGAGAGTGCTGAGGACAGGGGCACCCCTGCCTTGTAATATAGAGAAGGTGGCGGAGAAGTGCCCCGCATATTTGACCGAAGCCAAAAGGAAACAAGTACAGGGCCTGGATCCAGGTTAAGATTGCTTCTCCAAAGCCCAAAGGGGACAACACAAACTGTAAGTACTCCCACGAGAGGGAGTCAAAGGCTTTGAAAAGGTCCAAACAAAGTAAGAAACCAGGAATTTTCCATTGGCATAAAAGATGTATAAGGTGAATCACTTTACAGGCATTGTTGCTCACCTGCCGTCCAGGGACAAAGCCTACCTGATCTCTGTGAATCAAGTGACGCACGGAATTATTAATGTGAAGGCTGAGAATCTTTCCTAAGATCTTCAAAACTTCATTTTTAAGAGAATTAGTCTGAAAGGCCAGCAGCTCCAGTACATCTTCCGTCTTTTTAGGAATAGAAATGTGGGCCTGGAGTGCATCAGATGAGGGCAGAGCGCCTTGTTTCAAGGCATTAAAATAATTAGTTAACTAGTTGCCGACCGCAGATAGCCGAATGACGGCTGCACTGCGGCCGGCCAGTTCTGGGTGGACGTCATATGACGGCCTCCCAGAACGCGCTCTCCTGCGCGCCCCAGGGGGCGAGCACCCGGCGATCTCCGTGATCGCTGTGTCCTACGGACACAGCTGATCACGTGATGTGGTAAAAGGACAATCACAGCGGCCTTTTACCACGTGATCAGCGGTGTCCAATGACACGCTGATCACAGGGAAATGCAAGTGTCGGTTCTGCTCACGCTGTCAGATCGTGAGGAAAGTACTGCCGAGAACCGGCAGTTTTCAGAGCAAGGATCGGCACCGATCATCAGGGCACTGATGATCAGTGCCCTGATGATCGGTGCCCAGCAGTGCCACCCACAAGTTCCGCCCACCTGTGCCCAGCAGTGCACCCACTAGCTCCGCCCACCTGTGCCCAGCAGATCACCCACCTGTGCCCAGCAGTGCACCCACCTGTGCCCAGCAGTGCACCCACCTGTGCCACTCTGCAGTGTCACACACCTGTGCCCAGAAGTGCCACCTACCTGTGCCCAGCAGTGCCACCCACCTGTGCCCACCCACCTGTGCCCACCAGTGCCACCCACCTGTGCCCACCCACCAGTGCTGTTCACCAGTGCCACCCACCAGTGCAGCCCAGCAGTGCTGCCAGTCAGTGCCACCAGTCAGTGCCCAGCGGTTGTGCCAGTCAGTGCCGCCAGTCAGTGCCAAGCAGTGATGCCATGATGCCAGTCAGTGCCGTCTATCAGTACCCATCAGTGTCACCTATCAGTGCCGCCTATCAGTGCTGCATATTAGTGCCGCCTATCCGTGACACCTCATTAGTGCTGCCTATCAGTGCCGCCTATCCGTGCCACCTCATTAGTACTGCCTATCAGTGCCCTTTAGTGCTGCCTATCAGTGCCCATCAGTGCTGCCTCATCAACGCACATCAGTGAAGGAGAAAAATTACCTGTTTGAAAAATTTTATAATAGAAACAAAGAAACTTTTTTTTTTTTTTCAAATTTTTTTATTTATAGCGCAAAAAGTAAAGCGCCCAGTGGCGATTAAATACCACCAAAAGAAAGCTCTATTTGTGAGAAAAAAATGATCAAAATTTCATATGGGTACAATGTTGCATGACCGTGCAATTGTCAATCAAAGTGCGGCAGCGCTGAAAGCTGAAAATTGGCCTGGTAAATAAGGGGGTATAAGTGCCTGGTAGGCAAGTGGTTAAATGACAGGGCAAGAGCGTAGAAAATTTCTTATAATAAAGTCCAGTGAAGCCATCAGGGCCTGGGGCCGTTGAAGGCCATAATGCCCTAATAGCTTGAAGAACCTCCGCCTCAGTGATGCTAGCATTAAAGGCATCACACACTGCCTTAGTGCAGGAAACTTCAGATTGTGAGAAAAAGGATTCCATTTGGTCAAGAGGAAATGGGTCCAGTTTAGTGTAAAGCTGCGAAAGGTGGTCCACAAAGCAGGAAACGATCAGTTGGGGGTTGGAAGTGCAGCCTACCATGGACAGCCGCAATTAGACAGGCTTAAATGGTTTCCCAAACAGCATCGGTCCAGGCTTGTTTGCACAGGTATAAAATTTGTGTTTGGTAAAATGTAAGGTCTTCTTGGCTACAGAAGTGGAAAGGAGGTCCAATTCCATGGCAAGGGCATCACAGCTTTTCTGTGAGCTACAGTAGGGTATGCCTTCTACATCGGCCAGGAGGGAATGGAGTTTGGATAGGCGATGTTCTCTGTTGTGCTTCCTGGAGGCGCCAGCTGAATAATCTGGCCTCCCACATTGGCCTTGTAAGCCTCCCATAAGGGCACTGTCGAGGTGACAGAGTGAACATTACCTGTAAAATAAGTTTGAATTGAGGACTGGATTTGTTGACAAGTGGCCTTGGTGGTCAGCAAGGATTCATTGATACACCAGTGGAGGAGGCGCTGAACCAGGTCCAAAAGGGTGATTAGTAGAACCAATGGGTCATGGTCAGACCAAGGTGAAGAAGAAATAGAGATTTTCCTTACCAAGGGGAGCTGCTGAACGTGTATCAACACGTGATCAATCCTACAGAAGCTATCATGGGGATTAAAGTAAAATGTGAAGTCATGGGTGGCTGGGTGAAGTTCCCTCCAGGCATCAGCTGAACCAAAGGCCTGCAGAAGAGAGCGCATAAGAGCTTCCTGCGCTGGGTCATGGGAGGGAGTTAAATCCTGTGTGTAGCGCCTGTTCATGGTAGAAGGGCTCATTGGAGTCACCCATGAGAAGGCCTTTTTGGTGTTGAGAGATTACTGTGCAGAGATGGGAAATAAATCTATGCTGAAATCTATTAGGAGATTAGTTGGTGACTAAAGTGACTTCCTGGCCCCCCGATAGTGTCTTGTAGAAGCAAATGCCTACCAGTAGGGTCTGCTATCTCTAGGGTAAAGGTGAACAGAGATTGCGCCAAAAGGCAATTCAAACACCTTGATGCTTTTCAGGGACCAAGGCCATGTAAAAGATTGGGCAATGACGAGGGAGAACCAAGGAGAGGAGGACTGGACAAATCTTGTCTCCTGCAAGCAAACCATGTCTACATGTTGTGATTTAAGGTGATGAAAGACCTTGGACCACTTAAGAGGCGAGTTAAAGCCATGGATGTTTTGAGAGTGAATTTTTAATGGGGCGGTAGCCAAAATGGGGTAGGGTTTAGATGCTCAATAGCAAATGCAGAAGTCAACCATAGTACCACATTCAGGTAGTTGGACAACCCAGAAAATCCCAAGACCCTGGGGAAAAAAGAAGGGAAGAAAGCAAGAGGAAAAGAAAAATGGTGGAGGAAGAGCAATGACGAAAAATTATTGGTAGCACACTATCGGTGAAATGCATCCTAATAGCATAGGATACCAATTAGGGGTGGCTCCGCCCCCAGACACATAGCTGACATTCCAAAAAAAAAATCAACATAGGCCCCCGAGGAGTCATAAAATGGAGTAACCAAAAACAGGCAAAACACAGGTTGAGGCCTCGGCCCAGCACAACAATGGTTATATCATGATGTAGGAGGATTGGGGGTGGGGGTGTGATATAAAATATGCCACACCCACCATTGTATTTTCCAGAGTCTCTCTCTAGCTATATCTCACCAACCACTTTAGGCTTGGTTCACATATATGCATTTGCTGCTTTCTACAGTGCTTTTTGCAGGTTTTTTTTTGCGTTTTTCTACATGCATTTTTAACTTGTTTTGTTCAGCTTTTTTTTTTGTTTAGAATTTATTTTGTTGCTGGGCAGAATAAAAATGCAAAACACAACAAAAAACGTACTACCATGAATTTCAGCAGCTTTTCCTTTGAACTCTATTGTAGCAAAAATGCTGCTTTTTGCTTTTTAAAAAGTCCCTGACCCTTTCCAAAAATGCAGCAACTCAAAAAAGCGTAGGTGTGAACATGTTTCATAGGAAACCATGTTAAATGAACTGTAGTGCGTTTCTGCAAAAAGCACTATACAATGCAGCCTTATTAGGTATACCTTGCTAGTGCCAAGAAAATATCCCCCACACAATGCTTTCACATTGTTTACACCAAATTCTGACCCTACCATCTGAATGTTGCAGAAACCTGTCAGCCCATTCTCAAGCGTTTTTGTCCACACAACTGCCGCTCACTGGATATTTTCTCTTTTTCGGACCATTCTCTTTAAACCCTAGAAATGGTTGAGAGTGAAAATCCCAGCAGATCAGCAGTTTTTTAAATACTCAGACCAGCCCGTTTGGCACCAACAACCATGCCCCATTCAAAGTCACTTAAATCCCCTTTCTTCTCCATTCTGATCCTTGGTTTGAACTTCAGCAAGTCATCTTCATTACTAAATGCAGCCATATGCAAGTGATTGCATGCTTACAAGGAGCAATGAGCTTATCTGGAGTTTGTGTCCAGGGTCACTCATTCCACCCTATACACGTCAATGCTCAGATGTGCGGTCACATGCATATAGCCACAGCGTCTGTAATGCAGGCCATACATGAGTCGAATTCTGAATGAATTTTCTTTAGAAAATTGAAAATTTTGTGCATTTTGTAATGCAATGATGCCACCATTGATTACAAAATTCGACCAACCAAGCCTCCAATTTCACCTCATGTTGCTACAGAAAATAATTTTTGTGACTGGGAACATTCTTTTCTTTCCAGGTTACAGCTTGTGCTCATTTCTTTTTGATTATATTTCTTGCACGATTCTCCCATCATTGATTAGAAATTTGTTCATTTTTCAAAAAATTTCCAACATGCTGATCACTCAAACTCGATGGCTGCACACAATTGTGTGATGCTGTGGCCCACTAATGGTGGGAAATTCAAAAGACTATACCTAGTTACGATTTTCAAAAGAAAATTCTTTCGAATTCGACCCATATATGGACTGCATTGTCAATTATTTGTACTTGGTTAAACGCAAACATCTGTTACTCCCTGACATAGAGATATGCTCTTCTTGAGGTCATGTAGATGAGGCCCAATACATCCACCCCAAACACACATTGCGGTAATGCTTGTTACATGTGTTGGTGCACTAACACACTAAATGCCCATTCACCCCAGCAGGCATTGCACTGCTAGATTTTTTTTCTAATAAGCCTTTTTAAAATTACGTTCATTTAGCTCTATGCCTAGCAGTGCATTTTAACACACTGATGTGCACTGTACCACACTGCAAAGGTAAAAATGACTGCATCATTTTATAGAAACACGAAAACACAGGGCACTGCAGATCAGGCATTACCATAAGAAATAGTTGGGAAGCACACCTCCTTTTGTTAGCGCAAGTTGCTTATTTACAGCTTTGCCCAACTTTGATTCTTACCATTTTTGTCAAAAAGGCACGAACACAATACAGTTTTATCTTTTAAACTTTGTACATTATGTTGTGTGTGGACAGCGTAACGTACAATGTATTTTTTATTGAAAAAAATATAGTTTTGATAAACATTTGTGCAACTATCAAGTGACCTACAAAGTCAGTAGTGCCATTTCTGTATTCTACGGATCATGTGCTTTCAGAAAATGTATGGTCTTTTACAAACTCTGTAAACTGTAAATGGGAAAAAAAGTGAAAAAATTGCAAAAATGGTCTGGCCACCTGAGGTTAAAAGGGGAGCTCAGGACCTGGCAGCAAAAGGGTTAAGGATAACGTAACCTGGAAACAACAGTCAATATAGTTGACATCTGCAAGCTTAAATATCATTGCAATAACTGCTATCAAGGCCCATTAGGTCTAACATGAACAGTGAGCTTATACAGTATGTTTCATTTTCTCAGATTGACAGACAACCAATGTAAATCTCAAATCCAATTGTCTAAATAGATTTGGTGCAGATAAAACACGGACAACAAAGTCATGTCTGTTTATCATTACCTTCTTCAAATTCTGTGCATTTCCCCATTTGTAAAGCTACATAAAATGTGTGGTATTCCTGTCTGTATGCACGAATTCAAGTAAATAACTTAAGACAACACCCACTGTAAAACTATATAATACAGTGGGCATAGCAAAGAATAATCACATTTTGTTGCTTTGCAGCCAGAAATGAAGATAGACAACATTTTTGTTTTATCATGCTGCATTTACTCACTGCAACTTATAACAAAAGGATCACCCCCTCCTAAAAATGACTTGTAAACTCAATCAGGTGTAGCTAATCACCTTCTCAATGGCACACAAAGGCATTTGACTTTCAACTGATCAACTGTGGTCATTTTGATTAGCTCAGCATGAAAAGAGCTTTCCTGGAGCATTTCAGTCCCTGGTGGAGCAACTGAAGCAGTCAGTCAAAAGACCTCCGGGATAAAGATGTGGACAAGCACAAGTTAGAACATGGATCAAAAAATAAAAAACTTCAAAGGCTTCATCAATGCTCTGAAGCACAGTGAAGTTTATTGTTAACCGCATAAGGACCACCCACAGTACAATTACTGCTGCAGGGCGGCCCCTGTGCGCAAAATCACGTATATATAGACGCGGTTCCCGCGGGCCACGTGCGCCCCCCGCCGACCCGTGGGTGCCCTGATTTGATCCCCGATGGATCAATCATCCGATTTAGGCCGGTGATGTTCGGTCCAAGTAGGATGATTGATCTCTAAGATAATCAAATAAACGTAAAATGCTGAAAATAGACTACATAAGCTAGAAAACAAGAATTTATTATGGTATGCTCAGGATTTAACCGCATAAGGACCTCCCACTGTGCCCAAAAACGTGATTCGCACTCCTGCAGTTTTCGCAGGCTGGGGGGGGGGGGGGGGCGCAGGCACACCCCCTCCGACAAGTAGGTTCCTTGATTTGATCCTTAGTGATGTCCGGCCCAAGTCAGATGATCGATCCCTGTCCTATCCTGTCCTGTGTTGACAGTTAGACAGGACAGGAAGTGATGAAATCTTCACGCTCTGGGCACATTCCATCCCAGAGAGAAGAATCAGCATAAACTGCAAGTAAAAGCACTACACATTTACAGCTAGAACACTCTAGGACACATTTAACCCCTTGATCCCCCCCCCCTCCCTTCCCCAGTTAACTTCTTCACTGCCTTGTGACCACTGTCATTAGCACAGTGTACAGATTTTTTGCTGATCAATGTATTAGTGTCATGGCGAGTTCAGATAGCGCTAGCATCAGTTAGCTCCCCTCCCAGATAGCATCAGATTGCCCGTTAGTACACCGGTAATTACATTTAACCCCTTGAATGTCAGGAACATGCTCACATACACGATAAACCTCCATTGATAGTATAGTGTCTGAACGGATCAATATCTTTGATCAGATCAGCACTATACCAGCGTTCACATCAGTATAGTGTACCCAAAAATGCAGCGTTAGCGGGATCAGCCCTGGCACCTGCGTTTAGCCCCTACGCTATTATTTTCTGACATGTTGATGTTATATCTTTCACTTGGATGCTAAAGTTGCATTAAATTGGAGCTGGAGTAAATACAGCTGAATAAAACAAAAACTGTCTGTCTTCATTTTAGGCTGCAAAGCAACAAAATTATTTAGATTGTGTATTAGATTATGATAACTTGACATTTCTTTTATTCAAATATGAAAACTGAACTCCCTGTTCCAAATATTACAATTTCAGCGCTGTCAGTTTCCAGCTAATACATGGACCCTCACTAAATATGGGTGGGCCTCTACACTATATGGGTAAAAGATTGTGACATCACAACCCAAAACCATGGATATTAATATGGTGTTAGCCCTCCTGTGTTTTTAAGGCTTTCCACGAGACTTTAGAGTGTATCTGTTGGAATTTGTATCCATTCAGCCAAAAGAGAATTTGGGAGGTCAGGTACTGGAGCTACACAAGAAAATCTGGCTTGCAATCGGTGTTCCAATTAGAGTCAAGGTTCTGTTCAGGCCACTAGAGTTCCTCCACACCAAACATATCAACCATATCTTTATGGATTTGGCTTTTTGCAGGGGGAAAAGTGATGATGCAACAAAAACAGTCTTACAGAAACTGTTACCACAAGTTTGAAAGCGCACAAATGTTTAAAATGGCTTTGTATGCTAAAGTTTACCAATGGAGCTTGTATGGCTATGTGCTGGATTTTATGTACTAGGTTTTAGAATGGGATGTCCAAGAAACTTTTATGGACATACACTGAAATTTGTCTCACGTCACACACCAATGACTATGGAAGGTCCTGAATATACATAACCTTTTATACCTTTGGGTTCTTAAACATAAAAATAAGATGCAACTGTAAGTATACAGATATTTTACCAACGTATGCCCAATTTCAATGTTTTGGCTTTATTTGTCCCTTAAAGTAGAACTATAGGCAAAATTCTTCATTTTGGATAGCGCAAGGGAAGGTAATAACCCGTCAGATCTTTTTCGCTATCAGTGTTCCATTGCAGAGATTTTCCTTCACCTCCTATCCCATAGCCAAACAGGAAGTGAGAGGAAATCCCTGCAAAATAAGGGAGTTTCTTGGAGACCCTCAGGTCACCAGGACTAGTGTCCCCATTAGAAGATTTATCCTCTATTACTTTTCTGGGGGTCAAACAACAAAAGATTTTCTTTTACTTTCACTGATAACAGTAAACAGGTCAAATAGAGAGGGGGAATCTCCTTAACGGCGGCACAGGCAGCAATAAAAACTGACAGATCCCTCTGCACTCTATCCAAAAACGAAAAAAACATATTGCCTTTATTTATACTTTGAGTGCACCTTCAGTATGAGGTCTAAACTATGTGATAAGCACTTACCTGTTTAATTATTGGTTCCATGCTTTCTTCTGGGGACTTTGTGCTAAACGTTAAAAGGTCCTGAAAGTCAACACAGACACCACTTATGTAATTAAATTCTAATACACATTTCAGAATGTAAGATTATTGTAATCTCAGTTATTTTAGAAGCAAATATTTAATTGCAGGGAACATAAGAATAATAAAATATATTTTATACTTGATAACACAAACTAATCAACTCGCAAAAAAATAGCAAAAAAATTCCTGCTGAACAAATGCACTGCCACACATACTTCACTTTTGCTCTGGTCAGGTGGCTGCAATAGCAACAAGAAATATGGGGTCCATGTTAGCAGAGGTTGACATCCTACAGAATTTTGCTAGTTTGCATGTTCCATATACTATATATGCAGTATATAGTAATATAGTATATAAATAATATTTTTGCAATATCAGGCTTGAAAACCATTCGAACAGAAATCCACAATGCAATACATGGTGTCTTAAGTAGGTTCTTGAAGCAATGCAATGCAAAGCACTGCAATATAATACACTAGATACGCTGGTGGTCTTTTCCAGAAGGTATAAATCGGGATACTGCCTAAATCAAGCGTATTGAATTCAAATTCATAGAGGTCAGATCAGTAGAAGTTTCTTCCAATGGAGGTCCAAATCGCATGTTTGTGTGATGTCTCAGATCCTTATAGTGTATATACAGTGGGGCAGATTAGCAACGTACTGGTACATCCCTGGACTTTGAATGGTTATACCAGGATGATGCCTACAGCTGCAGGCATTATCCTGGTGTCATTTTTTTCAGCTGGCGATCGGCTTTCATGTAAAAGCAATCCTAGTGGCTAATGAGCTGCAGGATTGCTTTTACAAGCAGCAGGAGATGATACCCCCCTCCCCCGCTGCCTTCCACAGCCTTCTCGGGCAGTCCCGTGCCATCGGGGGAACCTGAGAATGCAGCCGGTGTTTCTGCCAGCTGGCCATAGAGCTGATTGGAGATTGGAATGGTGCCAATCATCTCTATAATCTAAGAAATCGGAAGCTACGAGCATTTCATCACTTCAGTTTCACAGGATATATAGGTGAAACTCGAAAAATTAGAATATCGTGCAAAAGTTCATTTATTTCAGTAATGCAACTTAAAAGGTGAAACGAATATATGAGATAGACTCATTACATGCAAAGTAAGATAGTTCAAGCCGTGATTTGTCATAATTGTGATGATTATGGCTTACAGCTCATGAAAACCCCAAATCCACAATCTCAGAAAATTAGAATATTACATGCAATCAATAAAACAAGGATTGTACATAGAACAATATCGGATATTCTAATTTTTCGAGTTTCACCTGAAAACAGCGCCATTTGTAAATTGGGAAAGCATCTGATCACACCGATTTTGGTTTGATAAGATAATGTAAGGGCAGAGGAGATATCTAGAGTCTGATAGACCACAGATTTCTCAAAAAAGAATATATGACAATGCCCATTGAAGTTATAGGGGATATTTGCATTCCCTGTGATAGCATTAAAAGTGATTAAAAAAAAAAAATTAAAGGGACAGTGTAAAAATAATAAAACATTTTAAAAAACCCTCGCCCCACCCCCACAGCTTTGACCCCTGTGTCAGTATGGAAACAGCGGTTGCACCATGTGAGGTATCGCCGTGAACATCAGATCAAGAGCAGTAATTCTAACACTAGACCTCCTCTGTAAATCTACAATGGCTTGTAAAGGCTTTTAAAACGTTGCTTATGGATATTAAAAACATATGCAGTTTGTCGTATGCGCAGTTTTAAATCATGTCATATTTGGTATCTATTTACTCGGCATACCATCATCTTTTATATCTTACCGAATAATTGGCCAATATATTGTGTTTTTTGTGCATTAAAAGTAAAAAGAAGTTTTGTTTTTTTTTTGGTTTGTTTTTTTTAAATTTGCTTTTGAAAAATTGCTGCGCAAGTATTATGCGACATAAAAAATTGTAGTACCCACCATTTTATTCACTAGGGTGTCTGCTTTAAAAAATATATATAATGTTCGGTGGTTTAAATTAATTTCCTAGCAAAAAATACAGATTTTTTTTTCATGTGAACAAAAAGTGTCAGAAAAGGCTTGATCTTCAGGTGGTTAGAAATGTGAGTGATGCTTGGCATAAACTTCTAATGCTGGGCATAAAATTCCCCCACCCACCAAAATGCCCCCCTTTTGGAAAGTAGACACCCCGAACTATTTGCTGACAGGCATGTTGAATCAAGAGGAATTTATTTTTTTACCAGAAGTTTTTGGAAATTTTGGAACATTTGTTTTTCTTTAGCACAAAATTGTCACTTAAATGATTTACTGCTCACATATGCCATGGGTATATGTGGAATTACTCCCAAAAATACATTCTGCTACTTCTCCCAAGTATGGAGGTACCACATGTGAGAGACATTTTGGCAGTCTAGCCAAGTACAGGACCCCAAAATCCAATAAGCACCTTCAGGCTTTTAAAGGGCTTTATTTCCTCATTACACTTCCTGACTACCTATCACAGTTTTGGAGGCCCTGAAATGCCAGGATAGCACCAACCCCCCCCCCCCCCCCTTTTTTGGAAAGTACAAACCCCAAGGAATTTGATAAGAAGCATGGTAAGTATTTTGCAGATCTCGTTTGTTGCCACAAGTTTTTGGAATATGAAGAAATAAAACAAAAACATATTTTTTTTATTTTCTTTTTTTTATATTTCAAAACCTTGTGAGAAAAAATGAGATCTGCGAAATACTCATCATGCCTCTTTTTAAATTCCTTGGGGTGTCTACTTTCCAAAAGGGGTCATTTGGGGGGGTTTGGTGCTATCCTGACATTTCAGGGCCTTCAAAACTGTGATAGGTAGTGAGGAAGGGAAATGAGGAAGTTACGCACCTTCAGGCTTTCAAAGTGGTCATTGGATTTCAGGCTCTTGTATGTGGCTAGGCTCCCAAAAAGTCTGATATGTGGTACCCCCATACTCAGTAGAAGTAGCAGAATGTATTTTGGGGTGTAATTCCACATATACCCATGGCTTATGCGAGAAATAAATCATTTAAATGACAACTTTGTGTAAAAAAAAAAAAAATGTTTTTGTCATAAATCTTCCCATGGACTCAATATGCCTCTCTGCAGATAGCTTAGGGTGTCTACTTCCCGAAAAGGGGTAATTTGGGGTGTTTGTACTATTCTGGTATTTTAGCACCTCAAGAAATGTGATGGGCAGTCAGAATGTAAAAGCTGTATAAATTCCATTATCTATACCATAGTTTGTAGATGCTATAATTTTCACACAAAGCAATCAATATACACTTATTGGGATTTTTTTTTAACCAAAAGCATGTAGCAGAATACATTTTGGCCTGATTTTATGACAAAATTTTAGTTTTTTTGGATATATTTTATGACCAAAATTAGAAAATATCGTTTTTTTTAATGTTTTTTTTTCAAAACTATTTTTTGTTTTATAGCGCCAAAAAAAAAAAAAAAGTGCACAGGTGATCAAATATCACCAAAAGAAAGCTCTATTTGTGTGAAAAAAAAGGAGATAAATTTAATTTATGTACCGTATTGCATTACCGTGCAATTGTCCATTAAACTAGTGCAGCGCTGTATAGCAAAAAAAAAAAATGGCGCGTAAATTGCAGTATCTATACCATAGTTTGCAGATGCTATAACTTTCACACAAAGCAATCAATATACACTTATTGGGATTTTTTTTACCAAAACATGTAGCAGAATACATTCTGGCCTAAATTTATAACTGACTTTGAGTTTCCTATATATTTTTTTTATAGCCGAAAGTAAAAAAATATATTTTTCTTCAAAATTTTGTCTTTTATTTTATTTATAGTGCGAAAAATAAAAAGCACACAGGTGATCAAATACCACCGAAAGAAAGCTCTATTTGTGTGAAAAAAGGACGTAAATTTAGTTTGGGTACAGCATTGCATGACCGCACAATTATAATTATCAGTGCAGCGCTGAGTAGCAAAAAGAGGCCTGGTCATTAAGGGGGGTAAATCCTCTGGAGGGCAAATGGTTAAAATAAATGGCACTGCAGCACAATGTGCATGCTTCACTTCTGTATGTTGCAGGAACATGCATGGTATGCACAAGCACTTACTGTGTGATTTAAAAAAAACTGTTTTGGTTGTACTTCTTATGTGGATCACAGGAATGAAGTTTGTTCTGCTCTCGTGACCTGTTTTCAGATGACAGCAGGCTGAAGCCACTCAGCCGATCCAAGCTGGGGAAAGATCCTGACTTAAAGGTCAGTATCCACTCCAGAGTATGGAGTGGCACCTGGCTCAGCCTGTCGGCGATCTGCCTAGAGCCTGAGCCAGCCACTCCCTCACACTTGGAGCCAGAGGGGTACAGATCGATCAATGCTGCATCCACCTATGCAAGTATGATTTGGGGAAGAGAAAAAAAACATATTTCTCCTTTAAATAGTCGGAAATATATTTTGGACATTTTCATTATTAAAAAGCCTTTTTTTTCTTTCTAGTTCATTGAGGGGAACACAAATTTACATAGGGACTGGGTTTGTACTGCTGCCTAAGGAGGATTTTGTCACTGGCAAACAAAGTGTGGGCTAGCCCAGTACATCCCCTCCTACTCTTAGCATGCCTCACTGGTTTACTGTTTTATTGTCCAGGAGGATGTCCTCTTCCTTTTTTTTTTTTCTTCTTGGCTGAAAATAATTTTATCCTTTTTTTCTAGATGATTGATTCCACTAGACACTACTGATCTGGTCTCTGTGCAGCTATCCAGATCTGTTTTCTCAGCACTAACTTTGGAAGCTGCACCTGAACCCCACTGGACTAGACTTGTACAAGACTAGCCTGGAATGTGACCTCCTGGCACTGGGCTCTTTGTTGTTGCACTTTACAGACCTAAGTGTAATGTGTTAGCTGAAGAGTGCTTTCCAGGTCCAGAGCCATAGCAGAGGCTCAGCTGTGACCCTGTCCCAGAAGACACTTCACTTTTCTAGTTTGTGTGGGCACTGTGGGCTGAGCATCTAGTCTTGTTACTAGAGCCATGGAGCA